AAGATCTGAAGTGAAATGAACAGGAGTATGAAGCTCTGAAGAGATGCACAGGAGCATACCTTCCCTTTTACTCTGCCTCCTGAAATAACGTTCAAGTGTGCCGTGAAGGCACACAGGGATGTGGGCAGCTGCCGCTCAACCACAATCAACGTGGGCAGCCTTGTGCATAAGAGGCACAGTAAAAGTGGAGCTGCAAGAACAATGAAAGGGGTACCCCAAGGACAACCAAAAAACTGTCTAATTATAAAATTGCTTTAATATGTTGGACATCTCAAATGCTCTCGTTGTTTGTAATAGGACAAAGACTGCTTTGATTCTGAGGCTATTCACCTGGGTCGAATTGGGGCTATTGCGGGGAAAATCTAAAACACACGCACAACACACATGCACACATACAACAGAAACCATGGGACAAGTGGTGATTTTAGGAATTCCAGAACTTTAAAAAATCTGGTCTGCCTCACTCTGCCTGTTATGCTTCCAAACTCGGAAATAGATTGTCATTTGTTTGTACCGTCTTTTAGATCCTTGTCTCCTCCTCAATATGCATTTCTACGCTACTTTGCAGGATTCAGCCTATCTTTTCATTGCTTTTGTGGTCGTAATACATCCCCTGCATGATGTAGCCCAGTAAACGTCATTGGTTGAAATGATGTCACCACCACCTCTTTGATTCATCTCTGCATTTCGGCCTGCAAAGAACATTGAAATATATCTGTGGGCTGTTAGTGCTTGGTCCTGAATCCATACGTCCTCAGAACACCTCCCACCTCCCTCTCCCAGTCATTAATCCTCTTTCCCTACGCCGTACTGACATGGGCAGTGTCGTGCTTGTCCGTTGTGTAGAGTTACAAATTCTATTTGATATTTTCCCCGTTTTTGAAAGGAACTGTGAGCTCCACAGTGATATTGCAGCTGGCAAATCCGCACGACCATGACTTTCTCTGAAGACTCTGCAGACTATCAATGAGCTTGCTTGTGTGTGTGCAGGTGGTGTTGAGTGATGTGATGGAAGTTCTTCAGAGGGCAGCTACAAGTGAGGCACGCCCCCTCCTCGCTCTTCTATTGCAGCTTCTGCAGCTTAACGATTCGTATCAGATGGTAAGAGGGCGACGGCCATCTCAAATAGGTAGAAATCCATCTATACCCACATTGAGTCACATTTATGCACAAGTATGGTCTGAGGCTCAGTGGTTAGAGAACCTGTGCAAACTGCGCATTGTGGTATGAGGCTGTGGGGTGGAATTGCAAGTCATGAAGGCGGTGATTCACACCTGCCCCTGTGCGCATGCTGCTTTTGCACCTGTAGGTACAGACATCTGAGACACATGGGTAAAGACTAATGGAAGGAGGATTAGTAACTCTGTTGGAGTGTCCAGTGCTTCCCCTCAGCGTTTGAAATTTCCACAAGAGTGAAGTGATCTCATTGTTCTTAGTAACTTCTTAGTTTTTGTGTTTTTTTTTCACCCCTAAAGGGCGACGGCCATGATCATCATTGAACTGACCGCCCCCTGAATCGTGATTCAAACTTGGGCCTATATTTTGACATTCATGGGAGCACCAACTGAGCTAGGCGCGTTGGTATTGTTTGTACTTCGTGATGTACAAAAGGATCTGGGAAAAAACAAAAGAAGAAGAAGAAGACGAAGATGAAGAAAATCTGGACTTGAGGGGACCCATTGTGGAAAAGGGGTGGATGTGGAAAAGGGGTGGACCTCCAGGTAGTCAAGGTGGGCCAAAACGGCCGTGCTTGTGAAGTTAAGCCCACCCATCCGGTGACATGCCCCTTCTTATCTCTAATGGTACAGGGCAGGCCAGTCTCGTACAAAAGACGCGTGGATTTACTGCTTGTTCAACTTCCGTATTATGTCATGTGCTATGACCATTGTGCGTAATTGACGGGGTCCTTGACCGCGGTCGTTATTGGTTCCCTGTGTGTGCAAATTGTGAACAGCATCGCCAGGAGGCCGTCCTTTCTGGCATGGATGGCATCTGCTGTGGCATCATGGACATGATTGTGAGCAAGGTAAGCAAGCTCTAGAAAAGCACACAAGCGAGGGCAGAAACGTGATATATAACTCACACTATGCCTTCTGATAAATGAACACTTTGCCTTTTGATAGATAACTCCCACTATGCCTTTTGATAGATAACTCACACTTTGCCTTTTGATAGATAACTCACACTATGCCTTATGATAGATAACTCACACTATGCCTTTTCCGTATGAATAAATTTTGGCGTAAAGTGAGTCGTGGAACGTCACTGTATGTATGGTATTACTTTGGTTCTCTCCCCTGCGTGCACAGCTATGGAAAAGCGTACAAGCGAGGACGGAAACCAGATAGATGACTTACACTTTGGTCTTTTGCGAATGAATGAATTTTGCCAGTAAAGCGAGTCATTGAAAATCAGGTAAGTAGCCTATTGGGGCGTGCTCGTATCACCTCCAATGGCAGACTGCCCCAGATGTTTTGCCTGTAAAAAAAAACAAAAAAGGAGGTCAGGTAAGTATGCTTTTACATGGGTTGTTCTCCCCTGTGTGCACAGACATCATGTCCTTTGGAAATGTGCATCCCATTTTGGGGTTTTTGAAAAGAAGCATACGGTGGGGATGGGACAGAGGTCATACATGAGGAACTCTTGACTGGTTTCTGGATTTTATTGCTGTCAGAAACATCCATGTCTGGCTGCGATTGTAGCCAGATCATACTCTAGCCAACCCTATGTGCCTGAAAGACACATACGGCGCACAGCGTGCACAGCTTATGTGTGAACCCGTCATGCAGCAATGGCCGCTCCACCTGCATCGGTCCAACATGCTCCTCCCACAGTGATGACAATTCTATCGATGATCAAGGTGTGTGTGTGCTGTAAACACTCACCACAACCACCCCTTTTCCACTCAGATGAGTACATCCAAAATTGAACCAGCTGTGTAGGCATTTGTGTGTGTTGTCATGTTCGCTATACGCAACTCCACAAAAATGGACACATGACAGTGCCAGACTGTTTCTGCTTCATGAAACTCCTGCCCATGCGCATGGAGCGGTGGTGCTTAGCATCCTTGACAGGCCTTTTTCGCTGGGATGCTTTTGAATCAATTGGAACTTATTTTGCGGACTGGCTTATGATTGTGTTTGGCTGTTAAGTGAATTGTGGCTTGCCCGCCCCCTTGTCATTTACGCAAGTGTGCCCTTTAGGGGTGGGTGTGTGGGCACTTCACGTTTCCAACCGTGCGGATGGATTTGGGAATAATCAATATGGAGATTGCGTACGCAAGACAGGCAAGTCAGCCACGCACACAATCGACACAAGTAGACAACAGAATGCACACAAGCCAAACTTCCCAAGGATTTCACTAAGTCTGTGCACCTTGCGGATGGATTTGTGCAACCTTTACCCGTCTGTCAAATTCACCCCTCTCGGCGGACTGTCGAGGTTGGACCTACTGATGAGTTGATGAAGGCCCTATAAAAGAGTCTCGTGTTAGGTTTTCTGCTAATTACTTGGCCAGTCTTTCTCTGTGGAGCTTTATTGTCGGTAGGAGGCCCTACTGTGGCATTTGATGGCACATTGTCCATCCTTTTGCATCAACAGATGGAGGCATAAGCCGCATAACACATTTTCTCTGTCATGATTGTTCTGTGTTGACGAGTATAAAGTATTTTACTGCATCCCTGTCTGATCGGAAAATGAAAAAGCAGCTATATATCCTGTTGAAGAAATTGAACCGTCATAAGAGGAACAAGTCGAATGGGATGTGTATACGTGGAATAAATAAAATGTGATGTTGTACTTGGTTGCACACACATGCATGTAATTTGATGATGAGAAATAGTCATATAGTATGGTGCAATGCATTACTAAAAAGATATTTTTCCCCTTTCAATCAAAACAGGTCCTTACGTGCCCCTTGCAGGTCCGGAAGGTGGGTAGACCAGTTGGAGTGCACAGCCCGAGGTAGGTAGTGTGAGATGGAAAAGAATATTGAGAGAAGAACAATAGCATAGTAAATGCAGCTGTCCCCCCATATGGAGAGAAGGCAGCCTGCATTTTTTCTATTTAAAAAACAGGTTATTCTGGTTGTGGCTCCATATCCATTCTGGGAGCGTCAGGGGATACTCACACTAGGACATTGTAGCAGGGCTGGGCCGGCAACCGGTCGGTTCAGCTTGTCGGTCCAACCGGAGCCGGACCAGCCCCGCGGGGGGTGAACTGGGAAACCGGTTAAAAAAAAAATAAAGTTCAATTCTTTTTTTTTTTTTTTTTTGGTGGATTCCGACTGTGCTCTTCAAGAGCTGTCGAAATCTGTAGTAAAATTTTGAAGGTACTATTTTTTGGGGGGGGTTCCCCAGTGGCTCAAGAACTTCAATTCAGCAGCAGAGAGCATTCTGGACTACGCCCACAGACATTAAACCCCTCCAGCCTGAACGAGATATGACAGGAGTGGATCCTTGATTTTCCAGAGTATAGCTCGTGCAGGCAGAGCGTTTTCTGTTTTTTTTTTCTTTTCTACATACGCTAGGACACTCAGTCCGAAAATATCTCGCCTGCCTGTCTGTCCAGATACATCTAGCGGAGCCAGGTCCATTCTTGATAGATTGAGAGAAAAATATAGCTTAGGTCCATTCTTGGGTTTGCACCTCAGACAGAGCTGAAACCCAAACCCGTAACTCTTTCCCCAGAGCTTAGTCATGTTGCGGAAGCATATAACCTCAGGAGAGCCACTGCTCTTGCGTAGTAATTCCCTCACGGCTGAGAATGGACGATGATGTCCTGCCAATGGCAGCTGGTCCGTGGTCTATTGGACCGCAGTCACCGCAGTATACCAAATCGAAATATGGGTGGACCGGCAATTTTTGAGAAAATGCGTGTGGCAGTTGTCCCCCGCTGATCTGCAAAGATAAGCGGCGGAGATCCTCCACCTGTTGTTTTCCCAGAAGTGGGGCCCTAAAAGCCCAATTTTTTTTTTTGTAGGAGGCCTCTGCTTCACGTGGGCTGGGCAGTCGCTGGGATGCCTGTCACTGCCCAGTACCCCCCCTCCGGGGCGGGGAGGGGCCCCCGGTCCAACCTGGGACCAGCCGTGCATTGGAGTCAGATTCATTCAGCTCTGTTTGAAATTGCGGTCAGATCAGGGCTGGGCCGGCAACCGGCCAGTTCACTTACCCCGGTCCACCCGGATCTGGATCATTGGGGGGTGGGGGGGGGAGGGCGCGGTGAACTGGAAAACCGGATTACCCAAAAAAGATGCGCAATTTTTTATGTTTTCTGATTGGAGGATCCGACTGCGCTCGTTGAGATCTGTCAGATTCCACTATGAAACTTTGAAGGGCGATTTGCTTTCTTTTTTTTTTTGTGGGGGGGGGGTGGAAGGGGCGATGGTGTGAGAAGAATGTAAGGAAGAAAAGGATGATGAAAACAAGAAGAAGCAGAAGAAGAACCAAACGAAGAAGAAAAAGAACAGAAAGAGGATGGAAATTTGAGTGCACTGAGCAGGGACTTCACATGTCCACATCAGAACTCTCTCTCTCTCTCTCTCTCTCTCTCTCTCTCTCTCTCTCACACACACACACACACACACACACACACACACACACACACACTCAAATCCCCTCTGTTCATCTCCTCCTCGGGCGCACCTCCCTCATCCCAGCAGGGGTCATCCTCGGAGACTTCCACTTTGCGGGGCCTGCTCGGACTGCGCGGTTTCTTTTTTTTATCATTATCATCCATCTTTGGCTTGCGGGGCCTGTTACGACCTCGACTTCATCCATCCGAGCTTTCCTCTTTCGTCCCCCCTTGCTTTTCCAAAGGTTATCTGCAGGGCACAGTGGCTTGCCACTGTGGTGTGCTGCTCCTCGGACTGTTGTTTGGTGTTCCTGCCGCATTTCCGCAGCCACAACCTGCTGATCCTGGTGTTCCTCTAGCGCCGCAGGCCGCTGGAGTGCAGGTGGCCGGAGTCTTCGTGCGTACACTGGGGCTGGTGGTTGCTGCAGATCTTCTCCCTGTTGGTGCATATGCTCTTCCGCAGCCTCCATAAAGTAAACTCTCCCCTGGGGCCCTGCTGCAAATTTTTTTATTTTTTTATTTATTTTTAATGATTAAAACAGGTCCTTGTGGTTCTGGTTCCATATCCATTCTGGGGAGCGTCACTCCGGTTCCTATTCCTCCGGCAAGTCGGAAAGAGTACATCGTATATTCCTTCTGTCTGGCCGAAGGAACCCTACTCCTCCTAGGGAGGATTTACTATCAGCTTGCCTTAACCACTTGTTCCCCTCGGGCTTCTAATCGGAGCCCGTCAAACGAGTCCCTGAAATACTAGGAAAGGGGGGGGGGGGTCTGCTCCGTGTTCTGTTGCTTGTCCTGATCCTTCACTGTGTGTCTGGTTAGCCTTGTTGTTGATCACCGTTCAGACCCTTCTGCCATGTTGCCCTGCAGGACACCTTGTCTTCTTGACTGTGCCTGGTGCCATTTCTTCCATCTCAACCTGTTGTCAACTATCATCGCCACCTTGCCCTTTAGCAGCCAGCGCCTCATGAAAGTCTGGTTCTTGGTTGTTTGTCCTTCTGGTCTGAGTCTCATTTGTTCGAGTTCACTATTCTCTGCCATCTGCTCGTGATTTCCGTCTCTGCCATGCTCAGCAGTAACCACCTTTCTTCCCTTGGCACCTCTGCCTCGATTGTCCGGGTGCATCTGTGTTTCCATATCACCCACAGTGCCAGCTTCCTGAGCAGGGTGAACCATACTTCCCTGCCGCCCCTGATGTTGCTGGGGATGTTAGTTAGGAGTAGGATAGAGAGAGGTGGGATGTGAGGGGGGGGGCAAGGCAAACAGGATCGACCACAGCTCTCGAACCTTCTTCCATATCCATGTCGCTTCTGGGCAGAAGAGGTGGCAGTGGGGAATGTCCTCGGGGGAGTTGTTCCTGCACATTGAGCAGCATTCCAAGCAATCAAGGCCGGAATGTTTCTTTCTCACGTATAGCCATTGGTTGACGGGAAGGGCTGCATGTCCTATTAGCCA